GCCTTGGTGTGGCCTAGAGGCTATGGTTAGCCTCAAATATCGGCCCAGCAGCAGGCTACGGCAAGGTTGGTCCCAGGCTAGGCCGATGAAACTATCAGATTCCTATAGTAATTGGGATTTTTATTAGTAGTACGTACTAGTGGTAAATCCTTAAAAAATGAATTTATTCTTATTTCTTCAGTTGTAGCTACTGACACACATAGCCTATCTTTTATCATTGACAATTTTTCAGATTGCTAAATCATCGGAATTGCCGTATATTTCGCAAAAAATACATTACATTGAATCATAATCTAAAAATATGTTAATATCCATATCAGAAAATAAATTGATATGTCACAATTTTACGATAAATTTTAAGGATAAACTTCAATTTGTATTTTATTTCAAATTGCAATAAAGTGTTATATTGTAGGTGTTGTGTGCCAAATAAATAAATAAATAGCATTTGCAGCAAAAAAAATATATAAAATTGAATTGAATTGAACATTTACGCTGTTTGAGCAGTTTTCAAGTAATTTTTCAAACTGTGCAAAGGTTTCTTTGCATAACTGTACAAGACACTGCACAGTGAGGCCTACTGCTGGTCTGTTTTGTTTTTAAATTGTTCAGAACATACTATTCGCTGGTCCAAGTGACCCCCTACTATATGTTTTAGATTGTGTTTCATGCATGAAACTAGAAACTCTGATTTTTTATCACCTGACAGTAGGGGCATGTGTATTCCTTCAGGAGTGTCCGTAATAACAAAAATAAACACAATAGACCAATTTTTTTCAAAACAAACAACTTTTTATTTATGGCAACAGTAGGTAAATGTTAAAATATATAATTTACATTCTTTTGTTGTCCCATTTCCTCTGATATGGATGAAACACTCAGGGAGTGGTTTGAAATATGTCAATCTCAGTCTATATTGATTTAGGGTAGATGCATTCACAATCTTATCTGGCAATTTGTTCCAGTCGTTGATTGCTCTTCTATATGAAAAAGTCAGATGCTTTTTATTTATCAGTTCCTTTAAGATTCAGGGGCGGATTTAGGGGGGGGGGCCCGGCCTGGCCCCGGTCCCCCTTTTGGGAGGTAAAAAAAAAAAAANAAAAAAAAAAAGAAAGAAAGAAGGAAAAAGAAAAAAATGATAGCCCACAACGCCTCAAATGTTATTTTCGGGTGTCTAAAACACAAAAATTTCGTGGGGGCATGCCCCTGGACCCCTTAGGACTCGATCGGTCCAAATTTCGTCACCCCTTTTGGGCCCCCCCCCCCTTTTGGACATCTCTGGATCCGCCCCTGAGAATCTTGTAAATTTGAATGATATCGGCTCGTTTTTTTTTCTGTATGCAACAGTTGGAAGCTAATAATCGTGTGCATCTTTGTTGTACTTCTTTCAACGCTTCGCCATCCTTTTAAGAAAATGGACACCAGACCGAATTTCCATATTTCAGTGACAGTCGAACTAGAGTCTTGTATAAAGTTCAGCATTCCTTTTTTGTTTAAAGATGTAAATGATCTCTTGATGATTTAATTTTGTATTAGCTCTTTTGGTCAGCATCAGTCGAATTGGGAGAAAAATTAACTTTGGTATAAATAAGTACTCCCAGATCTCTTTCCTTATCAGCATTTTTTAATGGAAATCTTTGGGAATGTAACTGCCATGATTAGACAGACCCTTCATTGAAAATCATCAAAAAAAAAAAGCAAAGAATAAAAAACTGACATTCAGCATAGACATACAGTACCTGTTGGGAGCCTGTTGTCCAATGATGTTGCTTGTGAATGTATGTGACTTAAGCTTAGAATGATTTGATTTACATTAAAGCAAACCTTGACTTTCTCACTGCCACATGTATTCATTCTCACTATTGCATTTTTTTCGGGGGTGGGGGTAGCTGAGGACAAACTACCTTATCCTCTAAAGGCCATTATGTTTTATCATACAAACAGCTTGTGTACAAGTGAATTGGGTGTTACAGCCATTGAGCTGGCATATGCTTTCTCGAGCACTCCTCCCCTGTACGCCTGCACTAGGTTTAGGATATACAGTCACATCCAGAGGTGACGGAACTAGGGGGTGCTGTGTTATGGAGAGTAATGTGTGACCGGAAATGGTCTGCAGTCAGTTGGTTGTATACCAGTAGCCCTGCCTTAGTTCAGTTTACTAGTATTAGATACTGGTTAATTCTCACAATTGTTTTAAAATCTATACAAACACATGCTTTTGATACAGAAAAATGATACCAAAATCCAGAATCAGAAGATGAAAACAGGCAATCATACAGCTTGTAATGCACGATTGTTATACTTCACAGCATCTCAGTAATCAATACATCAGCCATACTGTGCACACACCTAAAGAGGCACTGATAAACATTGTAACAACCATGGAGTATCATCCATATGGGTGAGTATTGTACTGTACCATTGAACAATTCGGATAGAACAAAATATCTTTCAAAATGATTCTAGTTTAATGGATTGGCATGTTATTTTACGATCATTTCATCTGGATCAATATGGTAGGATTTCTTTTTATGATTATCCAAAAACAAAGATGTTTTTGACTTGCAACAAAGATAAAAAATAAGCATAAAGTTTGGTTTTAGTACTTAATTATATCTATATTTTATTTTCATGTTAATGAAAACTGTTTTAATTAAAATATAAAAACTGTTTTTATTAAAATATTTTCGTAAATTTTGTTAACAATGACAATATGTGATCGGGCCATGTCCAGCATTGCAATTTTAAGGAAGTACAGTCTCAATTGTCTTAAGAATACTGACCTTTCCTGATTTGGGGGATGTATGAGCACCCATCACACCCCCTGGATATGGTGATGATACTGATACCTGGTGATGATGTCAAATATTAAAATTCATCATTCACTATTGATAAAAGTAGTCTGTATTAATTATCATGTCAAAGGAAAATATACTGTAAGATTCAGTTACAAACTTTGCTTGTGTATTATTTCACAGAAATGTGTTATTTAAGGCTATTGATCGCTGTAACTGGCAAGAAGCAAGACGTATCTGTGAAGAACATCCAAACCTTATTAACACTTACGACAATTGGGTGTGTATTCAGCTGATTATATACAATTGGGTGTGATTTAGTGATGAATTATCATTTTATTGGTTCTTCACCTTAGGCCTAAAGTTACTGTAGTCCCAAACATTGCCTTAAGGCCTGTCCAGACTCTCAAATTTTATTTGACGAAAACATGTGACATGCCCAAATATGGTGATGATGACATCACATTGTGACCATATTTGGGCACATGATGACTATATTTGGGCATACAACAGTTTTTTTGTCAAAGAACATTTGATAGTGTGGACAGAGCTTTAGTTTTAGTAATTATTAGCTGTGTGAGGCTTGTTTAGGCCACGGCTTGTGTAATATCCTCAGCTAGGAGGATTCAGTGCTTATGATGGTCCATCTGTGCAACTGTTCTTTGTACAGTGATTTCAATGTTTGTACAGACAAATTTACATTCTTTCTCCACCCTACCCAGTTCCCTTCCAATATGTTCTTTATCCTCACAACTGATTCCCAGCCAAACCCAACTTTTTTTGCTAAAATGGAAAAGACAATTGCCAAAAAAGCGCCGTAACAAATCTTGGCTTGTCATTGCCAATATATTGTGGCCAATACAAATCAGTACAGGGAATATAATGAACAAGAGTTAACAACATAACCACATCAATTTCACAACAAAGGTACAACTCTCTTACAATTCTGCTGCAGTAAACTATGTTTTTTTTTCCCCCATTACTACGGTAGAACAAGATTTTTTCCTAACATTTCCTATAAAGTTGTACTTATGGTGAATCATGATTGACCACAAAACCATAGCAAACATTGTGTGTGTGGGGAAGGGCATTAAAGTGTTAGTTGGCCTTGACAGCATTTATTTTTTAAATTACTGTACTTGCGTTTTCTGATCCCCTGGTGTAAGCTGATCCCCTCAACCCTAATTTACACTGTATTAGGAACGTTTTTATGTGTGTCTTGCACTATACAGATTGCTTACAATTTTGTAAACAATGAGTCCACCTACCAATGATTTGAATATTTGATGAAGGTATGTTGTTATTTTGTACATTTGTATGTCTGTTTTATAGAATGAAACACCATTATTATGTGCTATGGTACATATGCTGCAACGTGTACCAGAAGACTTGATGCTACTGATGGTTGAAAAAGCTACAGTAGGGAATATAGAATATGAAAACAAGGTAAATGAAATTCAATAGCATTGTATGTTATTCAAAAAACAAAACATGTATATATATTATATACCGGTAATAAACTAATTAACTCAGTAAATTACAGTCAATTATTTCATTCTGGACTAGCGGTGAGATTTTTTATTGTTTTATTTAAAACTGAGTAGCCAGCCTATGATCATCATTTCAAAATATAATATATAAATAAGAATTTTTGTAATGTGAGGGATAATCGTGTTTATATATTAATTTATACTATTTACTGGCTATATTGTTGACAAGAAAATGTTATACTGTATCACAATTAGTCTTGCTTGAAAATATAAATTGAAATTGTGTCTTAGAAGAAGTGAAGTTGTCTTTTTAATTATTATGTTGTATGCATGGTTTTACTTAAAAATCATCATTAAAAAACATTGAAATATGTAATCTTTATGTATAAAATTATTAAATATATGCAGCTAATGACATGACATGTTATTGTGACTAGTTATGTGTGTTGTTGGTATGTTTGTATTCCTTTACCTTATTTTATGTTTGTCTTTTAGGGTGGTGAAACTATTATCAGTTTTTTGGCACAGCATATGTATACATCAGCATTGAGATGTGCATTGGAAAAGTCTGCGAGGAAAATAAACACAGGAAACAATTATATAAAAATAGCCGGTAAATAAAGTAAACATCATCAAATTTAATCTCAAACCTGAGTCAGCTAAACTGGTTGTAGCTACTGGTGTGTCCACAAAGAATTTTCTTTCGCAACTCCATATCAGACTTTTTCATTTTGAACTATTCCATTCCTCAGGGTTCAATTTTGGGACCTCAGTGGTTTTCGTGAAATTTTAACCTTTCTTATCATATTTATGCTGATAATAAACAGGTCTATATTTCTTTTAAAGTTGCTGAAGAATTTGATATGAAGATTGAATCTCTCAGAAATTGTATTTCTGAGTTGAAAACTTGGATGTCCGAAAACTTCTAAAAGTAAATGAGCACAAGACAGAATTCATCGTCTTGTTCCCCTCAACAAAGGAAAAAATGCCAAGACCTCCACATCAACATTGGAGAATGTCATATCGATCAAGTACCTCATGTATAGAATTTGGGTATTACGCTTGATTCTTCAATGACTTTGAGTTAGCACATTCTCAAAATCACCAGCTCCTCAACATATCCCATGTGCAATATACATGCATTTGTTACCTCACATCTTGACTTTGGAATTCTCTTGTTTTTTTGGTTTTGATATATATCAGTCGTTGAAACAAAAAATTATGACAAGGCATGTAGACTATTGAACACTGTATTTATTTTCGAAAGAATTTTCGACCAGTCCTCTGGCCTCCATCAGCTTTACTGAATGCACAAGATTGGCTGTTGCAGTTGTATACTGTACAATATAAACAATGGATTATAGGCCAATTATCTAATCTTTTATGCTGTAATATACAAAGTAAAAACCGACAGAGATCAAAGCAGTCAGGTATTGAGATAGTGGTATTTTTATTGAGGCCTATGGTGTGGGTTTTGTGTTCAAGTATAAGTTTGAGTTTGGAAATGCAGTGATCGTTGAGCGATTTAAAATTATTGGCTATGAGTACAAATCTCAAGTCATTGATGTTATTATTAGGAGAATTGAAATGTGTGGCTATTGGAAGGTTCCTACTGGTATGAATTGATGATTTCTGATTATTAAATGAAGGAGGTTTAGTGGTGATGTGAGGAGGGATTTCATATGGCAATATTAAATATAATAAGCCTCGCTGTCAAATATGCACACATATCACGAACGATACAATCACACTCCAAGTCACTAACCACAAAATTCACCCCTCTCGACTCACATGTGACTCGACTACCAACGTAATTTACATCATTATTGGTAATACATGTGATCATGGCACCTACATCGGTGAAACTGGAGCCTCTTTTAAAAGTAGATTTAATAATCGCAAATCATCAATCAGTAAGAACCTTCCAATAGTGTAGTTAGTTTTGCTTCCCACCATATTATTCTACTATGTACACTTAGTTAAGAATTGTTTAATCTTCCACAAAACTATCTCAATACTTGACCACTTTGTTCACTGTCAGATTTTACTTTGTAAATTACAGCATAAACTATTAGATAATTGGCCTATAATCCATCTACATCACTATTGTATTGCTTATATTGTACAGTATACAACTTGCAACAGACAATCTTTTGCATTCAGTAAAACTGATGAAGGCCAGAGGACTGGCCGAAAATTTCTTTCAAAAATAAATACAGTGTCCAATAGTCTACAGTACATGCCTTGTCATAATTTTTTGTTTCAACGACTGATATATAATTTGAAGAACACATGTGGATTTACAATGATATATGTATATATATAATATATATATACATATATATATATATAAAAGTTTGAAAGGCAAATGGGAAAACCCATAAAACAGCAAACGGCCATATAATGCAAAACAATTTAAAATTAAAATTAAAACGGAACAGTAGAGAAAATCCGATCAGAATGACAAGATAAGCTAAGTATCCACTGGAAGGAATCCCATATATATATATATATATATATATATATATATTTATATATGTCTGAAAATTCCAAGCAAAAAGGCATAAAAGCAATAATGATGTGTGTGGTGTTTCAGATACTTATTCTTGTACCAATATATGATATAAATATTGTGATACTGATAGTGTTGGTTATTCCTTTGAATTATTATTTTCGCCATTATCATTTATAAATCTTCCCTTTGTTGTGCTGATGTAGTTTGCAGCGCCATCCAGTGAAATATACTATAATTTTTTGTATGATCTTGTTATTACAGAGAGGGAATACACCTCTTGATTATTATGATCGTAATAGATGTAGAAAATACAAAGTATCAACAAAGGAGGAAAAGAAAGATGAACTTAAAAAATTGCTTATAGGTAAGTTATCTGTTGTACGTTAAATACTCCAGAACCTCATTGGCAAAAATCACAGAGCTTGCCTTATTTGGAAGAACCATGTCATAAGCCTCAGCTATATAGCTTTCTAGACATGGCTATACCTTAAGTACTAATAGCTAGTTGGGTGCCACTTCAATGGATGCCTTCTGGGTCCTAACCCCAGCCCCTTTTTTAGGATGCCTTTTTTAAAGTGGAAGAAATATGGTAAATATTTAATTAGTCAATCATGTCAATTTTATTGTAAATTTAAATTAATTTTAACCAAGTATTGCATAAGATGAAAATTAAACATACCTGTAAGTAAACAATATATATTTTTAATATCAATGGAAAGCTCAATATTTTAAACTGTATTTTCCTATGATTTTTATGCTTGAAATCAAGCAATGGCACAACAGCGTATCCTAAATAATCCAAAACAATTGTATGACAGTAATCGCTCCTGCAAGATGCTGGAAATACCACCTCGTACTTCTAGAGAAAAGATTTCTGATGTTTTGGACTCAGCCCCTGCCCCCTTGTTAATATCTCTGGATCTCCCATGTATATCCCATTGCAAGTGTACACTGCCCACAAAACTTGTCACTGAAAGAAACAGTAAAAACAAAGTTACGCCTATTACATGCACTCGATGGATGCGATCCATGCATAGAGGCTTTTCTGCATGGATGTGCCATACAAGTCCAAATATTATAATTTATTTTTACAGCATTACGGTTATTTCAGTAGTCTGGCTGTAGCATAGACCTAGTGGAAACATTGATCAAATTATCTGCATTCTACACAACAACAATGAATCAAAAGTAAAAAGAATAGAAAAGTAAACAAAAAAACAAAAACAAAATCAACTTCACTTAACATTTTGAAAATTTGAGGCAAAAAATACTACAAAATTAAAAAGGTAAATGTAAAATTTAAGTAAAAAATTATCAATCATTGTTATCTGCAGTTCGTGGGTTGGATTCCTACCCGAGTCAAAGGGCAAAAATCAATCCTATAATATGCATATGGTTCATTGAAATAATACTGTATACACATGTAATAGAAAATACTATACATTTGTACTTTTATATTTCAGTTCCTGTATTATTCTTATAACTTTTTATTTTAATGTTATTTTCTGTTTTACATGTTTATGCTCTAGAAGTAGTTAAGTCTCTCAGTGTTTCAACACCTTGATATAAAATTACATATTTTGATGTGTTATTTTCAGAAATCAGTTTGTACTGTGATGGTTATTTTTTTTTAAACAAAATAATCACAATATGTTTAATGTAAATGTCATGAATTCCTACTTGACGTATTTCTGAGCGGTATAGAAATGACTAGGAATCCCTCTTTGACATATAAAATATAAACACAGCTCACAATGTTGTAAAACAACTCTCAAATAAACTTTTATTCTGTATAAACTACAACAAGAATCCGGTCTCAAAACAATGCAATAACATTCACATAAACATGTGTTTCAAAAAGAGCTCCAGAAAGATAAGACTATCAGATTATATACCCTAGCTGCACTATTCCAGAGCATTCAAGATCATTCTATATTGCCTAAGTTCCTCATTGGTCACCTTACATTATAATTAACCAATTGGGCTTTTGCCTCTATAGTACCAAAGATTCTAGAAGCTTCCATATATTACTCTTGGATTACTCATGGTGTCATGTGTTCCTAAAATTACCAATGTGGTTTACACTGTTTCTTTGATCAATTAAATGTTATTCTAGAATCTTATATGTATTAAATATGTTAAAATAAGGCAAGTGATGATAATTTATTACAGTAAACTATAAAATGGATGGATGAAATACTACTGTAGTATACGAAATAATATTTGTTATATTTTATATCCATAAGAGCTATCAGTTCCAGGAGAAGTATTAGCGAGAGGTCCTGAAGCCATTAAAGCATTCACATATGAAGTCCAGAATGGGGAAATTACGATGGTTAATTACAGAGTCATGTTCCTTGGCAAAGAAGGTGTGGGCAAGACGAGTTGTGTCCGTTCCATGCTTGGCAAAGAGTAAGTACAGAACAAGGCCTTGTTTTTTAAATAATTGTACAGTCTTTTGGCTTGCATTGTGAGCCACAGTATTACAACATTCTTATAGTATCATATATGTTTACTAATCATAGGCGACTGACTATCCAGGTTTTTTTGCAATTGTTTAAAAGGATTTTTAAAGGCATGTTTGCCCATTGGCTCTTGATATAGCTGTAATTTTAAAAGGGTTTAATTTTTCACTTAGTATGCATTGAGTACTACACCACACATACACAACACATCACTACAGCATGGTACATATGACATATTTTTTATTTTGACTGAGCGCCTCCAGAGCTTGTCGCACTTTATTATATCTGAATAATTATATTTGAATAAAAACCTAATATAAGGATGAAAACTTGGCATATACAGTAGTAATTATCTTGTGTATATTTGATAGTGAATATAAACTTACAATGCAAAACTGAGAATATATTATAAAGTTTTGATTGTTTAGCGAGATTTTTTAATGCCTTGTTTAGTGAACCCGCCGACTGAAAATATTGATGGTTTCGAATAAAAATTAAAATATTATTTTTGGCCAATTAGCGCATCCGCTGCCACAAATAAGTGGAAATTTCATAAGAAAATAAGTTTTTCTTTATTATTATTATGCTCTCTGCTGCCTTGAAATCTCTGATGATAAGATATGCATTATTTCTTCCTATTTATATCAATTTGAAGCATTTAACCATCCTATTTTACATTCACCAATAAAATTCCATTTTTATTTTTTCCCTCATCTGGATGTTTTTGGCAAAACTATTTGCTAAATAAGAACATAAAATTTTATTTTTATTTTCATTCCGTCCTCCGATGATCTTAAGTACACGAAACAAGGAATAAAAGAAGTCTCACCTTAACATACTATGTACTCTGTTGCTGATTTAGAAGTTTATAAAAAGCGAGTTAATTTCAAAATATTATTTTAAAGGAAGTAGATATATTTACATCGCCGTAAACAAATCACAATATATTTATGTTAACACATTCACAGTCATACTTTATTAAACTTGCATTTTTAGCACTCGACATTAGCTAGGCCTCCTTGGTGCAGTGATTCCTCCAATAAGTTCACCATGGCACTAATTAATTTATAATTTTTTTTTTTTTTTTATGAAACGTAATTTAATTTTC